TCGGCCTCTAAACCCAGCATATCATTAACCGAGGTTGAAATTTCACTATCATTACTACCTAGTGAAATTCCTAGCTGATTTGCATTATTGATAATCTCATCATTGGAAAAATGCAAAATAGAATTAGAGGTATTGACCGACATACCAGTAGTGACCTCCACGTCACGAAGCTTGGCCGCGCTCATGACGCACCGCTGCTGAATGTCATCCACTTTCGGATGGTCCTGGAGACGGCTACTCAACCATCGCCCCTCAGAGACCGGATCCGGAATACTACCGAACGCAATCACCTCCTCCCGAGTAGCTCTACTCGAGTGCACCAAGCCGTGGGAAGGTGGAACCTGGGCCTCCTGCCCGAGCTCCCCATCCGCCCCGGCCCAACGGCCAGCCAGCGTCACCGGCGCCGAAGGCAGGCAGGCCCCCCTGGGCGCCCCAAGAGAAGAGGACCCCGAGGCCACCTGCCCCGAGCCATCTCCGGAAAGCGACGCCGGTGCCAGCAACACCAGCCCGGCGATAGGGGAGGAAGGAGCCGGGGCTAGCAGCCTCGGCCCCCCTCCCGAAGAGTCAATCTGCACCGTCGGGATCTCGACCTCCGCAAGCCTTGATGAGGGTGCCGAGGCCACCTGCCCCACGCCCCCATCAGCAGATGGCACCGTCGGCTGCAACTGTGGTACCCCGACTGTAGGGGTGGGATCCGAAATCACCATCTCCGGACCCCCACCCGCGAGAACGACCTCCTCCGCTTTAGCCCTGACCGAGATCGGCGACGCCCCCAGAAGAGGAACCACAGACTCCTCAAACTCCAGGACCGGTAGCGAGTGCTCGAACACCTCATCAGACTCCACCCGTTCACTCCAAAGTCTTGGGGGTGCAGATGCCGGCTCGAAAGACCCGAATCTGAGAGCAGTCGTAGGCACCGTACAAGGTGGTACCGACCCATCCGCAGACGTCTGAGAGTCAGCACCCGGCGCAATGGACAACTCTCATCCACTGTCAGCTGCTGGTGCCTCCTTAAGTGCCGAACTATCTCCACCCTCGTGCATATCAGTATCAGTCCCGTTGGCCGCCTCGGCGAACAGACTCTCATCCTCGAACTCAATGACTAGGTTATAGATGTGGCCTCGATATGCCCACTTAACCACCTTAGGCACGGACTCGATGTTCAGCACACTGACCAGTAGACGGGCAATCTCGTGGGCCCTGGTAAAGTCCATATCCACTCGCTCTGGTCTGCCCACCATGATACCCAAACTGGCCACGACCCGGGCATCCTGCATCGGCTTGGAGGGAGCCCCAGAGAACCGCAACCAAACCTGAGTCAGAGGCTTGCCCGTAGGCTCAATCCTCTTCCACTCGTGAAACTCAAGCACACCATCAGTACCCGGCACCTTGCACATCCCGAAACTTAGAAGTCTGTGAAGATCCTCAACTAACGGGAACTCAACCCGAAACAGTTTGTCCTCGATACTAACAAGCTCCCACTGGAAATCCCCAGGAGCTAACTCCATGAGCCTCTGAACAACCTGTGCCTCTGAGACCTCTCCTCTGGTAATTTTGACTAACCAAGTCGTCAAACTCAATGTCTCGTCAGGAACCTCCATCTCCCTTGGAGATTCAAAGAACGTAAGTTCAGCATAGTACACTCCATACATCATGAGTGATGGTGCCTGATCTCTCAAAAACGGACAGTCCCCCGAATTGTGTGCCGGTTTGCCACAAATGCCACACAGCTCAGCCACACACTCAGCAATAAAATGTCCCTTGCCACCACATCTATGGCACATCATTTTTCTTTCTTACGCGCCCATTTGGACGGCCTCTCAGACTCAGTCCTGTCAGTCGCGTCTACTATCGCTGTCAATCCGGACTCATTTCCGGGAATCTCAGCAGAGGCAAGCGTCGAGACCACCTCCATAGCTTGCCCTGACAGAACCTGCTCCTCAACAGTCCCGTCAACCACCATCTGGTCAACAACAGGCGGCGGTGGCTGTCGTGGGCCGTACCGGCCACCTCGACCCCCACGGCCACCACGATGACAGCGGAACCCACCCCGCTGTCGGTAGCCCGGCCAGATGCCCCCTCAACAAAGCCTCCTGGGGGGGCCCATGAACGGTCGCTCCATTGTGCCATCGCTCTGCCAAGCGTAGCCCCGACCACCACCCGTCGACGAGGACCCCCGGTGCTTACCAGCTCCATACGCATCAAAACCATCATCCCCCCACTGCCCCCGGGGCGCGGCAGAAACTTGAGGCGGCAGCGGTGGCTGCGTCTGCACCGGCCCGACCCTGTCCTACTGGGGCTTAGCAACGACATGAGGCGGCGGGGGCCGGCCTCGGCTGCTTCCCGATCGAGAGCCCTGGCGCAGTCGGCCTTGACACCGCGCCACCACGGCCCGCCGCGATCATCCCGGCCGCTGCCGGCGCCGGAGGACGGATACCCGCGGGAGCAGGGGCCGGTGGTCGATGACCAGTCAATCCTCCACCACGGCCCGTAGCCGAACCAACCGCCGCCACCCCTCGACCAGCAGGCAGAGCCGGTGGAGGAAGCACCCCATGGCCAGTCCCAGGGTTCAACGACGGCCCTGCCTCGCGGCCACTACCCGCGGGCAACGGCAGCGCAGCCCCACTCCCGGAAGCAGGCGGCAGCACGGCGCCACAGCCAACGCCAGCGCCCTGCGGCGACGCGGTCTGGACGCGGCCGGTCCCAGGCTTCTTCCCCGGCGGCAAGGCACCTCCGCGGCCCACCATCGCCCCAAGCGGGGGAATACGCCGCGCCCGTCCACACCCAGCCGATCGAAGGTTGGGACTCCGGCGTCGTAGAACCCTAACCGGTGCAGGCGAGGAACGAAACGACGATCGAACTGGCGGACCTACGTCGCCCATAGCATCGATCAAGACCGGATCCACCTGGGCCACATACCCATGCGATACCGACCCGACCAGCCCACCCGCGATGCACCAATCCGCTCCCAGCACAAGCTGGTTTGGCACCGGGTTAGCCTGGGCCTCATACCCAGCTAACCCCGGCCCAACCTGACTCAGCCCAATAGCGCTTTCACTCGACCTCTCTCGGCCAATAAGCAAATTCAAACGGCGCTGGCGATCTTGAGCGATCCCGAGGCCCGAAAAACCCGACGAGACACCCGCTAGCGCCGCCGGCGGCGATCTGGCCGCCGCTCGGCGATCCTTCTTCTTCCGCTTAACCACGATCCACGATTCCGGCCGAACAAGATCAAAGACAGTGAGATTAGGAAGACTAACCTTCGGTAAAGGACCCTTCCAAGGCGTCATATCTGTTCACAGATGCAACCATGGCAACTATATTTTGTCCACCATCGGCTATGGCTCGGCCGAAACAGCTTACTCACCAGCCCGATCAGTTGTGCTGGAAGCTTACTACTTCTGGGGAATTCACAGTCAAGTCGATGTACCTTGACGTCATCAATTCTAGTGTTATTCCTAGTTTCATACATGTTTGGAAAGTTAAGGTTCCGCTAAAAAATCAAAGTGTTTATGTGGTTTGTACATAAACAAGTTATCTTAACGAAAGATAATTTGGTTAAGCGCAACTGGACAGGCTCTACTAGGTGTAGTTTCTGTGATCGGGATGAAAATATCAAGCACCTCTTCTTTGATTGCCCGTTGGCGAGGGTTCTGTGGCGCTCGGTACAAATTGCCTTTAACATTACTGCTCCAAGTTCGGTCGGGTCGTTATTTGGAACGTGGCTTGTTGGGATAGAGTCCGAAACAGCTAGACAAATTCGAGTAGGAGCATGTGCGTTGTTATGGGCAATCTGGAACTGCAGAAATGATTTGGCTTTTAACAGAACATCAACTATCCATTTTTTGCAGGTTTTATTCCAGGCTACTGCGCTAATCCGTATGTGGTCCTTACTCACTCCGATGGAGGCCAGGGAGCGTTTGGTTACTGGATCTCTCCGGTGTGAGATGGTAGCGCGGGATATCTTCAACCGGTTTGGATGGCGGTCATGTAATAGGATAGGCGATTAGTTTACCTATCTATATTTTGCCAGCCGGCTGTGGTTTTTGGGCCTTTTTTGTCTTTGTTTCTATTGCTCTTTGTGAGCTATCATTTTGTTGCAGACTGCAAGACATTGTTGAACTACTTTATTTTATAATAAATGTGGCCGTATGCATCATTCTGATACAGAGGCCGGGGAGTCCTTTTTCGAAGAAAAAAAACCACAACGATATATAACTTGATGATGAGATCGAGGAGGCGCCAATTTTGGTCGCCAGGCAGATCAGCTACGTCGGGACAATGTGGTCGAAGAGGCCGAACTTCGCAATCAGCAGCTCGACGTCGTCACGACAGATATGGAGTAGCACCAGCACTTATATACCATGAATTAACTCCCACTAGCTCCCTCATAAAAGCGTGTCCCAAAACTAATCTCTGCATGATCCACACAATCGACGCGACACTAAACCTCTTACTAATTAATATCTGAGGACTAAAAATTCCATGTACTCCTATGTATACTTCTCGGTCATTCGTGCATGCATGCACACATTTTGCATTGATCACCTAATTAAGTCAGTGATGCATGCCGAACTCCTCCATCCATCTCTCGCCCGGAAAACTTGCTATAGCTACTCTAGGCATCACTGTGATGCACCCTAAACACAACCCTTAAACATCACAAGCTTGAGTATCGATCGCTCAATCCACTCTGGCATCGACCATGTCGATGTCGGCTTATCTCTGCTCTCCGTGGCGCCGGCCGTCAGCAGCTCTCCACCGGCACCATTGTCGCAACCACGCAGGTTACCGGTTCCTATTTGCTCAGGATCGACGGGTGCACACTGAAGACGGCCCCCAACGGCACGCTGGTCAAGTCAGGTACCTTCGGCGTCGGCGGCCACGACTGGCGCATCAAGTGCTACCCGAACGGCGAGAAGGGTTACGACGGCTGGCTCTCCCTCTATCTCGAGCACGCCAGCCATAGCAAGACCGGCGACGCAAGGGCTTGTGTCCGCATGAGCATACTGGACCACGCCGGGAAGCCATGGCGCACCAAAGGTAATACCGAAGCCAAAGGCGTTAAATATTCGAGCTCGAGCTCAACGTGCCGGGGCTGGGGAAGCTTCATGGAGACCAAAGACCTGGACAAGGAGAAGCAGTTCAAGGATGACGGCGTGTCCATCCTATGCGACGTCGCCGTCTACGACACGCGCGCTGCCAACTACCGCGCCGGGCTCACGCCCACGGGTACCGTGGTGCCCCCGAGCGAGCTGCACCAGCAGCTCGCGGTGGTCCTGTGGGAGTCCAAGGAGGGGGTGGACGTGGAGATCGAGGCCGGCGGGGAGACCTTCGCGGCGCACAGGTGGATGCTCGCCGCCCGGTCGCCCACCTTCAAGGCGGAGCTCGCGCTGACTACCGCAACGAACATGCTACACATCGACGGCATGGATGCTGCAGTCTTCAAGGCCATGCTTCACTTCATCTACACGGACACGCTGCCGAAGGAGGTAGAGCTGGCGACGATGGCGAAGCCGCTGCTCGTGGCGGCGGACAAGTACAAGCTCGAGAGGCTGAAGCTGATCTGCGAGGAGGAGCTGTGCGGGCACATCGGCGTGCATTCGGTGGTGGCCGCCATGCTGGCGCTGGCGGAACAGAACTGTTGCCGCGTGCTCAAGGAGGCTTGCACGCAGTTCCTCTCTGAGCCCGGGAATCTGAAAGCAGCCATGGCGACATCTGATTTTGAGCAGCTGAAGACGGGTTGCCACCATGCTCTTATGGAGCTCGTCATGAAGCAGTATATTACCGCGACAGAAGCATAGCATAGGGCCCTGTAGCTTGCAGGATTAGTGTGTTAACTGGGTTTAGTCCTCTGTCTGTGTGTCCCCCTGAAAGTTCTCGTCGCCAGCAAGACAAGCTTTAATTCTTGGTTTGAATGTGAGTGAGTGTGCACGCTGCACGGTGATGTCTGTGCCTTTGTGGTTCCAGAGAAGATTAGTGTTTGCCTAATAATGTTCACTTTTACTATTCCGCATGTAACTAGATATTTTTATTTTATTTTGAAACGGAGATATTTTTATTTTTATTTTGCATTTTAAGTTGATTCCACTGGGGAAGACACAAGGCCGAGGCAGGGGTTGCCATGTTGGGGTCGCCCGTGACAGATTTGGCGTGGGAAGGTTAGAGGGATGACCAGAGTTGGTAAGAGCAGGACAGAGGCAATGCTCTTGGACAGGTCGACGTGGCGCGTGGCGACTATTTTTCGCATTAAGCAAGTCGTACGGGATCTCTCGCCTCGAGTCTACAGTACAGGGCCAGCCCGTTAGCGCAATAAAAAGAAATAAAGTAGAGTTGAAAAGGTCGCACGCAGCGCGGGGTTCGACCCGCGATATTTTTGGTTGCATTATTGCGCTGCTATCACTAAGCGATCACCCGGTTCGTGTTATGAACATAGGACGCGAACAAGATATACAATACCTCTTCAGGTTTTTGTTTTCATTTTTTTCTGGTTTTCACTGACTTCTCTTTGGTTCTTTCTTTATTTCATCGGTTTTTCCATTAGTATTCACAGGTTCCTCTTTATGTTTCTTGTTTTTGTTTTTTGACGAGGCTTTCTTTGTTTTTTGTTTGCTTTTCTTTTTTTCTTCTCCATTTTTCGTTCGGTTTTCTAATTTCTTCTCCATTTTTAGTTTGGTCTTCTTTTTTCTTCTTCATTTTCGTTTTTCCTTATGTTTGTTATTATTCTCACTCAACATTTTCATATGTCAAAAATATTTCTTTAAAAAGTGATCAACATTTTTTATATACCCATCAACATTGTCCGAATGTTTATTCAACATTTTTCCAATAATTTCTCAACATTTTAATACTTATTTAGCATTTTTCAAATACATGTTCAACATTTTTAATACTTATTCAACATTTCTGAATAAATGTTCAACATTTTAATACTTATTCAACATTTTTCAAATACATGTTCAATATTTTGTAATACTTTTTCACCATTTTCAAATACTTATTAAAACATTTTTGAATAAATTTTTAACATTTTTTTCAAATACTTGTTCACATTTTTTTAATACTTATTCAACATTTGTCAAATACTCCCTCCGTATGTAAATATAAGACCTTTTAGAGATTTCACCATGGACTACATACGGATGTACATAGACATACTTTAGAGTGTAGATTCACTTGTTTTGCTTCGTATGTAGTCCATAGTACAATATCTAAAAGGTCTTATATTTAGGAACGAAGGGAGTACTTGTTCAACATTTTTCAAATATTTATTCAACATTTTTTAATACTTATTTGACATTTTTTAATACTTGCAGGATTAGTGCGTTAACTGGGTTTGGTCCTCTGTTGTGTGTCCCCTGAAAGTTCTCGTCGCTAGCAAGACAAGCTTTAATTCTTGGGTTTGAATGTGAGTGAGGTGGTGTTTGTTTCTCTAGTCCTAGGACTTTTTCTAGTTCCTGGGACTTTTTGAAAAAGACTCTCAAGGAGGTGCTTCTAAGGACTTTTAGTAAAAAGTCTCAAAAAAGTCCCACCCTGTTTGGTTTGCTAGGGACTTTTTCTAGTCCCTACACCAAAAAGTCCCTGGAAACAAACACTCCCTGAGTGTGCACGCTGCATGGTGATGTCCGTGTCTCTGTGTTTCCAGAGAAGATTAGTGTTTGCCTAATAATGTTCAGTTTTGCTATTCCGCATGTAACTAGATATTTTTATTTTTATTTTGCATTTAAGTTGATTCCAATGGGGAAGACACGAGGCCTAGGCAGGGGTGACATGGGCCGGCCATGGCGTCACCAACGAAGGACCGACACCGGGTTGCCATGTTGGGGTCGCCGGCGACAGATTTGGCGTGGGAAGGTTTAGAGGGATGGCCAGAGTTGATAACAGCATGACAGAGGCAATTGCTCTCGGACAGGTCGAGGCGGCACGTGGCGACTATTTTTCGCATTAAGCGAGAGTCGTACGGGATCTCTCGCCTTGAGTCGGCGACTATTTTTC